AAAACATTGAGATGTATAGCGATACTTTCAAGGTGCGGGAGCATTGGCGCTATACCAATGTCCACTGGCAGCAGTGGACATTGGTATAGCGCCATACAGCGTTACTGGGGAATTTCATTGTCACTTCATTGAAACAGTCTCTCTGATGCACACGTCACATCTTCTTGGTTCTTTCGGTAAAGTCACGTAGAAGGGAAGTAATAAAATAATACAAATAAAACATAATAAAATAATTCTCACGACGTTTCGGCTACAACGCAAGCAGCCGTCTTCAGGTGAAGAATGAGACACTGCCAAGCTAGGAGCTTAGATATACGCTGGGTTGGAGGTGGAAGAAGAAGAGAGCCTTAACAAAAGAATGTGCATATCAAGATGAATTTAGCATATTCATGGGAAATGCGTAGGAGGTGGGCGGGGGGGTTTCAAAGTCATATTATGCCCATGCATAAGTTCAGGGAGTAGCATTAACAAAGGAAAGGAATGTTAATAGTATGTAGCTGCAGTTACACACGTCACAATTAGGCTTCCCCATGACCTGCGACAGATGTAGCCTCCAACCCTTGTCACACAAACGTTGCCGAGTGGGTGCACCTGTGACCAGATTAACCGGTGTGCAGCTGATATTACATATCGGAAGCTAAGCAAGTGCGAACCTGGGTAACGCCTCTGGGATGGGAGACCACCACCATGCGCAAAAGACGGGTGCACGAGGTGTAGAGGGCAGTGCAGCCAAAATCCATTGTGCCCATGCAACAGTGAAATTGACAAACACATGTTGTGCACGTACAAGTGGCGGTAGCAAGGAGGTGATGGACAAACAAATGGTCACAGAGTCTGTTATTGTACTCGAAGAAGAGCAGTGAAAAAGTGGTGGAGGATCTGACAGAAGGAAGGAAGTGATGGCAGTGCGTGGTGGCATCAGCGACATTGGCTGAGATGACCTCTCGATTGTGTTCGTCAAGATTCTCTAATTTTGTGCGGCGGTTGTCTCTGGCTCGGACACACATTATTCAATGGCTCAAAACAAATTCCACATGCAATACAACACGAACGATTTCTGAAAAAGCCGTTGTGTCAACAATGAGTCTTAAATTCTCAGATATGTTTCGCGGTTGTGCCGCGCGTTGTACAGCACGATACCTGAAAGTTTCGCTTCACGGCCGGGAGCCTCTCCAGGAACTGTTTGTGAAGGCTATTGCTGCAGAGGCTCCCAGCATGTGCAGAGATGCGTCCTGGAGATTTGTATTGAAAATCGCAATCTTTCTTGAGGGCCCGGAAAAAAAAAACATACAACCACGGGGAGAGCGACACGCAAACTCCCAATATACAGGAGTCAGGGTCGGGATCGAACCAACGACCTCCTGCATACCAGGCAAAGTATTTCACATTTCGCCACCGCGGCACCCAATACCACACAATCCACTCCAATCACTGCATTCAAGTCACAACTCAGAACACATCTCTGCACTCGGACGCAGCAACTGGCTCACAGGCAACGCGGCTCCAGATTTGTGCTGAAGCAGCTGCTAAACACCCAGTAGCAATTCTAGATTTGAAGCTTTCGTGACTGCAAGGATTCATACTCTTAGTTTTTTCGGTAAAGTCGCGTAGGTAAAAAAATGAAATTAAAATTAATAAAAATAAAATAATAAAAACCACAACGTTTCGGAGGCAACACAAGTCTCCGTCATCAGGTGGGACCGTCACAGCCAGATTTGCTGTATCAAGTGAGGCAGGGATTCCAAGATGCAAGTTCTTAAATACAAATTAAGGGGGAGGGGGGGTGAGCAAACTGCTGCCAGACAGGCAGTGCCTCACTCGGCCGTCGTTGGTGTCAAGTCAAGTCCATTTTTTTGTGTGTAAACACGTGGCCCCTCTGGCCCATATCTGCCACTCGAAGCGCAGTCACATTAATACTTGTGGACGTGAAAAAAATAAGATGCTGTACAATGAGAGCAAAACATATATCCTATCTATCGTTGTATAAAATATCACGATAAAAACAGGTTGTGGCTGTGAGTTGGTTGTTGTATGCAAGTGCAAGAAGATGTGTTTTCAGTTGTGATTTGAATGTAGCGATGATGGGAGTCGAGTGTGCGAAGTGGACGCCGGAGTGGCGAGATGTTAAATACCTCGCCTAGTATCAAGGAGGTCGTGGGTTCGATCCTGACCCTAATTCCTCTATATTTGGAGTTTGCGTGTCTCTCTCCCCGTGGTAGTGTGGATTTTTCTACGGGTCCTCTGGTTTTTCCCTTCAAATTTAAAATATGCTCTTTGATTCTTTCGGTAAAGTCACGTAGGTAGAAATAAAATAAAATAAAACAAATACGACGTTTCGATCGCAACACAAGCAATCTTCATCAGGTGGAACAACCACACTACAACCACACTACTTCAGCATTTTCTTGCTGTAGTTGTTCCACTTGATGAAGATTGCTTGTGTTGCGATCGAAACGTCGTGATTTGTTTTGTTTAATTTTATTTCTACCTACGTGACTTTACCGAAAGAACCAAAGAGTATGAATTCCCGCAGTCACGAAAGTTTCAAATCAAAATTAAAAACATGCGTTCAAAGTATTTGGCTCCTATACATTTCCACGTGATAGGCCGCTTCGTTGAGTTCTAATTTGTGGCCAGGTCACTTCTGAAAAAGACCCATGTCGCTCAGCGGGCCTAACCAGGTAAAATAAAAAATAGTTTCGTTTCGGTTGTTCCTTCGAGAGGTGAAGCGACGATGCTGGAAGCAGCAATCGCAGCATTGTGGAAATACTTTCCACTTTTTTCAAATTTTGCTGTGGATTTCACACCTGATGATGATTGCTTGTGTTGCAGTTGAAACGTCGTGAGAATTTTTATTGTTTTATATTTTTGTTATTTTATTATTTCCCTTCTATGTGACTTTACTGAAAGAACCATGAATATGAATCCCTGCAGTCACGAAAGCTTTAAATCAAAACTTTCCAAAGTGTTTATCAACACAGCAGTGTGGACTTAATGAGAACGGCAGTACTGCTGGTGGCTGAGCAGCGTCACAGTCGGCTCTTAATATTTAAATAGCAACAGTGGGCTCCAGAATCACGTACATCAATCGCACTGTGTTGGGTTTTTTTTTTGTTCCTAGGCTCCCCTCCGCCTGATGCACCGCTAACAAAATTCAAGATGCAAAATAAATCCAGTTTTAATGCTCAAATATTGCTGAGCATTAGATCAAGCGGTGCGTTGCTTCCCAAGAGGGGTTTGATTTATGGCACTGGAAGGGATATGGCTTAGAGTTGCTTTTAAAGCTCCATGCCGTAACAACTAATTATTCCGTTTGATCTCCCACTCTTCAAAGTTTTGTCTGAAGGATGCGTAATTACGTTAAAGTCATTAACAGGCCTCCTCTTTTTTTTTTGCACAAGAAAAAATAAAACATTTTGATGCGTACTTTTGTTTCTTGTGCATATACATATATATACTCCAAAAAGGCCAATTAGTGAACTTCGCTTGGTAATTCATGTATTTTGGGGTATTTGGAGGGGTTAGTGGAATCTTCTGATGTTAGTATATTAAACGCAAGTTGATGTAAGTTTTTCTCTCTCTGTTATTTAGAAGCCCATTGTCATGAAGCAGTGAATTTTAACAAGTTTTAAAGATATTGTTTTTAAATTAAAGTATCTTGGAACGCTTGGCTCTGTTTAAATTTTTTATATATAAAAATATTTAAATAACATTCAAAAGTGCTAAACACATGATGAGGGCTTTGCACTGTTTAGGCTTCTGGCAAATGAGTAGTTTTGTGTTGACCGTTATCCCCTAATTAAACAGCACTGCTCATTAGACAATGCTCAATCAAACAATATTGAGCTAATGAGAGGTGCTGGCATGTTACACTAACGTGTGCAGAGAGGCTCTGGTGTGTTACTCCAATTTGTGTGACGAGAGGCGTTCGTGCGTTACCCTAATGTCTGTACCGAGAGGCGCTGACGCATTACCCCAACGTATGTACCGAGAGGCACTGGTGAATTAATTCTAGACTTGAAGCTTTCGTGACTGCAAGGATTCATATTCTGAGGTTTTTTCGGTAAAGTCACATAGGTAAAAAATTTTAAATTAATTAAAGTAAAATAAAAATAAAATAAAAAATCACGACGTTTCGGAGGCAACACAAGCTTCCGTTTTCAGGTGGAACCGTCACAGCACGATAGCTGTATCAAGTAAGAGAAGCTTGTGTTGCCTCCAAAACGTCGTGATTTTTTAATTTTTATTCTAATTTTACTTTACTTAATTTAAATTTTTTGACCTATGTGACTTTACCGAAAAAACCTAAGAATACTGGTGAATTACTCCGTTTGTCGAGAGGCGCTTGTGCGTTACCCCCGAACGCGTGTGACGAGAGGCGTTGGCGCGTTACCCCCAACGCGTGTGACGAGAGGCGTTGGTGCGTTACCCCCGAACGCGTGTGACGAGAGGCGTTGGTGCGTTACCCCCCGAACGCGTGTGACGAGAGGCGTTGGTGCGTTACCCCCGAACGCGTGTGACGAGAGGCGTTGGTGCGTTACCCCCCGAACGCGTGTGACGAGAGGCGTTGGTGCGTGCCCAATTGTGTGGTGTGGTGGCTCCAGCACTCGTCTCACAATTGAAAAAGGTTGCAAATGCAAATTCCAGTTCGACTCATCTTGGCACCTCATCCCTCTTGGGTCAATAAAATGAGCACCACTTCGTCAGAAGCCGAATCGTGCAAATCGGAGGTGTGGGGGAAGGTCAACAAACTAAACACAAAAAGCAGTTCTAAAGACATGAGTTTTCAATCTAGATGATTTAAAAGTGCATCGCTCTCCTAATATTGGAAGGAAGAGCGTTCCAGACGGCCGCAGAAGCGCGTCTGCAGTGACCGGCTCTGTTCGATGACTAGCCAAAAGCCGGTGTGCTGCGAGGATGACCGGAGTTCGCGTGAAATGCAGGCATTGTTCAGCGACTAACGCAACATGCATGTGCGGTGTGTCTGCCCTGCGTTTCAGGCCCTTCTGACGGAAGTCGAGACGTGGCGCGTGCGTGTGCAGCTGTTGGAGAAGGCGCTGCAGACGCAAGAACTGCAGCACCAGCAGCAGGTGAGTTTCCACGAACCGTGCGGACGTTCCAGGCATCTATAAACAATTTTTTTATGTTATCAAGTAAGGCCCATTGAGCTAAATAGCTCTTTTTCAGAAGCGACCTGGCCACAAATGATAGCTCAACGAAGTGGCTTATCATGTGGGCATTTCTAGCAGCCAAACACTCTCAATGCACATTTCTAAATGTGGAGAGACAAACTGGAGGAACCCGGAGAAATATCCACGCGACCACGGGGAGAACACACAAGCTCCAAACTCCAAATATACAGCCGTCAAGGTCGGGATTGAACCCATATGACCTCCTGTATATCAGGCGAGGTAGTTAACATCTTGGCATGCCTCTTGTCGCATTGTAACCGGCTACTTGCTAGAATGTCTGCTAAAATTGTCGAGACACGCCTAGGCTGTATATCTTGGACTGTTCAAAGCACGAGTTCAAAGCTTAATTGCTGAGATGTCCATTTAAAAATGTCCGTGTTGAAGTGTGCCACTATTTAGACATGGTGATGCTACCGAGTCACGACTGATCTGTAATGTGTGCGTGTGAATGGTGGAGCTTTCAAGGGTAAATCAGGCAAACCACCTTCCTCTGGATAACACAGTGAAAAACTTGAGCTGTTTGCTGCAATTGCTTCTCACATCTGGCCAGGCCAGTAGGGCATTCATGCAGCCAGAAAGCATATCCACCATCAGATTAAACGAAAAAAACAACACTTTCCAGGAATCTTTGTCACACAATAAGGTCTACATTCTCAAGAGTAAATTTAAACATCGATGCGTCTCTGAGAAATGTGTGCGACAGGAGGTGCTGCACTGCTTTGATCTAACCATTCTCATCAACTGTTCTCAGTCTGCCAACATCACTGCCTTTGTTACCCATTCAGTCTTTCATACATTTGCAGCCCATTGCCAGTGTTGCCCATGATCAATTATAATTGAATGTCCATAATTCAGATTTCCTCCTTTGCTTTTAAAAAATGTTAATCCGTTGAAATTGACCACATGTTTAGGGCCAGCGTTCTAATGAAAGTGAGATGCGAAATTACTTCATAAATTATCCTCAGATCTCTCTGCCAGTGAGAAATGCTGATCTGAAACGGTTTAATAACAAACTAATAGCCAATAAGCTGCAACATTTAAATGTCGTTGAATACGGCAGAGAGTGCTGTTTAATTTAAACGTCCTGTTTGTTTTTCGTGTTTAATAGTTGATGTCTTTTGAAGCACACATAAGCGAACTCCAATACGTATTAAATAGAAATACATTCCAAAGTGTCTCTTTACTCGAATGGAAATAGTGTGGTTCTCATCTCCAGATTTGGAAATGCCACATTCTCGTGATGGGCGCCAGTCCTTCCCATTACGACAACCACTTCACTTTCCACAGTCGTACTTATTTTATCAACCCTGCAGGAACGATAGGCTGTGACCGACCCCCTTACAGGATTTGAGCATACAAATCAGGAGTTACGGCATACATATAAAGAAACTAATCTTTCTGCCCGGCATTTGAAACAGTGGTGCAAGCTTACAAGCTTATTGAATCCCCCCTCTACCCCCACCTCTATCTATCCAACAGTATAAATGGTCACAGGACAGGCGATCGGCAGGTTGTGTGTGGTGAGGTGAAGTGTGGATGCTCCCGCCTCTTCAATTATGTCTGGCCAGTGTGGAAGAGTAGGCCAAATTACCCACCAAACGGGCTCTTTATAACTCTAGATTTGAAGCTTTCGTGACTGCAAGGATTCATATTCTTGGGTTTTTTCGGTAAAGTCACGTAGGTGAAAAATTAAAATTAATAAAAGTAAAATAAAAATAAAATAAAATAACTCCTCATAGTGGAGGAACCTTCCGCTAGCAGTGGCTCGAAAAATAAATTGCAGGGCTGCAACCTTTGCCTTTTACCTGATTCTGTATACAACTGAAAGCCTAGTCACATTCTTGGCTCGGCCACTTAGAGAATCACCATCGGGTATGCGTTACGTCAGATCACCATGGAGCAGCAGGTGAAAGGCAAGGTCCTAATTTCGCCGATGTGATCGCCGCAGCCCGCCTTTCATGCCTACTATGCGGCAGACTCCCGTGCAAACTTACGTCCGCTTCACTCGTGTGTGTAAACACCAGAGGTGGGACAAAGTCATTGTTATGCAAGTCCAAGTCGAGTCTGAAGTCATCAAATTCATGACTCGAGTCTGACTCGAGTCCAAGTCACATGACTCGAGTCCACACCTCAGAGGTGGGACAAAGTCATTGTTATGCAAGTCCAAGTCGAGTCTGAAGTCATCAAATTCATGACTCGAGTCTGACTCGAGTCCAAGTCACATGACTCGAGTCCACACCTCAGGTAAACACGCATTGCGGTACGCGTTCAAAGGCGCGCACGCAAGCGTAACGCAGACAACAGGGGAGGGGGGGGCAGTGGGGAAGTGGGGGCCGGTTTTCCCCATGCAACATCAGTAACGCCATTCCCAAAGGACTTGATGCTTGACGGCAATCGAAGCGGCAGTGGGAGGTGCGTATCTGAAGAGACGGGGGCCTGCCATAGGAAATAAAGCCTCCTGATGTTTGCTGCCAGTGCGATATCGGTTGCATATCACTCCTTTCAAAGACGTCTAGCGGGCGTGGAAGGGTAGGCCAAATACCCTCTGGAAGGGGAACTTTGTGGTGGGGGCCCTTCCGCCAGCAGTGGCGTGAGCAAGCAATTGCAGGGCTGTGCCTTGACCGTTTATCTACCCCTAAAGTGGCTTCTGCGAGTGTTGCATTGGCTGGGAATTCTGCGTACAAGCCTGCCAGGCCAAGCCACCCAGGGACAATATTGCTCATGGAGTTTAAATCCCACCCACCGTGATGTCATTTTGGCATGTCAGTGCTCCCCCCTCCACCCCCACCACCACCCGCCGATGATCCTAAGGAGTTCGGAAGAGAAGGTGGGGGAGAGGAATTTCGACACTGGTGGACACTTGTTTGCGCTGGCTCCGACCTCGCATTCTTGCGGATAGAAAATTTAAAGGATTTCTGATTGTGATTTGAATTCGTATTGCGAAAGCTTGCTGAGCACATCCTGTGCCAGATAATGTTTGCAGGGAATACGATCACTTTCACAGTGAGGTGTCCACAACGACGTTTTGTTTGTGCGACTCATGCTGTACAGACGGAAATCCAGCATATCCATTCAACACATTCCCAATGCTTTTTTGATCTCCGGTATCTGATATCCCAAGTGACCAATATTCTTTGGCAGTAGATGCAACAACAACTAGTCATCGCATTTTGTTCTGATTCATGTTTAGTTTATTTTGGGTTAGATTATGTTTGGTATGATCTCAATTAATTAACTTCTACCTGACAGAGCTGTTAAATGAAGTTGTTTTGCTTGAGGTCCTTAACAGATTTATATGTAAAATTTTCCACTAATGTGCATGGTCAGGAATTTTATCCATTTCGTACACTCCATTGACCTATCAGGCCACTGCTCTGTAACATGCACATATGAGATGATGCACACACGTTTGATTTTCATCCGTAAATGCGACAACTATGGTATTTGTGAATAATCTCAAAAGAGGTGGCTGAATAGGGTGCATAGGTATTCACACCGTGAGATCCCAGGCTCAGTCATGAATGCAGAGAGAGAGAGAGCTTTTGCCAAGCCACGAACAGCATCCAACCTTTACTTCAAACGTAGCCTTGTGTCGCGTCTGAAACGCGTTTGAAGTGTATTGCGGATGCACTGCTCCACATCATAAGTGCCGCGTCTTGTTACAGCACTCGAATTTTGATGCACCGCAGGTGTCCCACACAACACACATTCCCTTGATTACGTGCCTCCTAACTCACTTATTAAGAAGGTTTAATCATACAGCTGATGACTTCCAGAGGAGTGTCCTCGTGGTCTTCCAAGCGCATTTAGTTTTCCGCTCTTTCATCTTGATTGTGGCGTTGATGCTTTTGTGTTCGAGAGAAAAAAAATCTTCGCTTGCTTGTAGACACCAAATCCAGGAGGGGGAGAGTGGAGCACGAACCCAGTTCACGTTCACTTTTAACCTTGATCCCCGTGTGCCGTGGCAACGGTGCAAGCATAATTGAGCACTCCATCTCCCCAAAGGGTTGTTTGGGCTGTTTGCTCTGTTCTCTTATGGGCATTAAAGAGCGCACGGAGTTCTTCGTAAGTTAGCCAGTTTTTGCGTATTGCCGTGGTTGTTAGGCTTCCGTGAAAATGTTTACATTTTTAAGAGCATTGATTTTTGAGTACCGTAAGTCAGGATAATAGAGTTCAGCAATACATGAGCTTAAAAGGAATATTCTGGATTCCTTGATATGTATGTGATTTTTTTAACCGTTGTGTCTTTAAAAAAACTGGTGCAATTTTTCGATTTAAGCAGGGATTAATTTTCTTGGTTCTTTCGGTAAAGTCACGCAGAAGGGAAATAATAAAACATAATAAAATACAATTCTCACGACGTTTCGGCCACAATGCAAGCAGCCGTCCTCAGGTGAAGAACAGGTCTGTCGGAAAGACAGCGTCAGACGCTGTCTTTCAACAAAAATCGCCACATTTAACAAAGCTCACGCGGCATTCAGTGTGAAGAGCCCCACACTGAAGTGCCTTTCTAACCTTGCGTTCAGATAATCTGCTTTGAAAGTAATTATTTATTGATTTTTTTGTTTGTTTACAAAATAGGATGATGATGATGATGTCAGCAAAATAATGCCTTTTCAAGGACTGACAAGTTCATGTTCAGTGGAACCACCGTCATTTATTATTTTTGATGTCGCCAGGCGGCAAATACCAAGTCAGGGCATCTTCTTGGTTTTTTCGGTAAAGTCACGTAGAAGGGAAATAATAAAATAAAAAAATAAAACATAATATAATAAAATTCTCACGACGTTTCGGCCACAACGCAATGGCTGCTTGCGTTGTGGCTGAAACGTCGTGAGAATTTTATTTTATTGTTTTATTTTTATTATTTTATTATTTCCCTTCTACGTGACTTTACC